GCCCTCAATCCTCTGTTGTGTCACTATACCCCACTCCCTCTAACATGTAAACTCACTGAGCAGGACCCTCAATCCCTCTGTTACTGTGTCACTATACCCCACTCCCTCTAACATGTAAACTCACTGAGCAGGGCCCTCAATCCCTCTGTTACTGTGTCACTATACCCCACTCCCTCTAACATGTAAACTCACTGAGCAGGCCCTCAATCCCTCTGTTACTGTGTCACTATACCCCACTCCCTCTAACATGTAAACTCACTGAGCAGGGCCCTCAATCCCTCTGTTACTGTGTCACTATACCCCACTCCCTCTAACATGTAAACTCACTGAGCAGGGCCCTCAATCCCTCTGTTACTGTGTCACTATACCCCACTCCCTCTAACATGTAAACTCACTGAGCAGGCCCTCAATCCCTCTGTTACTGTCACTATACCCCACTCCCTCTACCATGTAAACTCACTGAGCAGGGCCCTCAATCCCTCTGTTACTGTGTCACTATACCCCACTCCCTCTAGCATGTAAACTCACTGAGCAGGGCCCTCCACCTCTCTGTTCCTGTGTGTCCATTTGTTTGGTTACAATTACGTGTCTATGGAATTTGCTGGCGTTATATAAATAATAATAATATATTATAAGAATGCTGCTGGGGCCAATTCATACAACATACAAGGTACATCGCTCATTCACTAAACAGCAACTTCAAGGCTCATAGATTTTAGTAGTTTTTTTTTTTTTAAAACACCTCACCTAGGCAAAAATAACGGGGACTTAGTTACGGTATATGATCATACATTGTATAAACCTGCCATAATGTCAATGTACCCCATTATATGTATATATGTAAATTAATTTTAAGTGTAAAATGCATATTATTTATATATATAATTATATTGTTTTGTTTTATTAATTATATATTGGGGGATTTGGCTGCCAACCCAAACAGTAGTCCTGAAGCCAAATCTGTCAATCAAGCCAATCCGAGTCACGTGATTGCGGTGTCATGTGGTGTCATCGACTGGATTGACTGCTGGGGAATTGATTCGATTGTCAACCAGGTCCCCCAACTGGGATCACCGCGGAGAGTAAGTATATGGGCTAGAGGGAGGGCCTGTGCGTTAAAGCCCCCTTTTGTAGGACAGCATAGGAAACCCCTCTGTTTGGAAAGGATTTATCCTACACCAAATATATTTCATGTTTAAACCTGCCCCCAAAAAAGTTTTCTGAGTGAGGAGCTAGCTAAAGTCTGACGCTCTCTATAGTCTATCACCAGTGCAGATTCTGAGGATTCTTCATTGCAGACTCAGACTGGCACTGTCTACATGTATTTGGGGGTTAGACCATTTGTAAATGATGGTAAAACGGCACCCAGGACCTCCAGGCACCATAATAACTTAATTGAGATGAAGTTGTTATGGTGCCCAGGGCGTTCCTTTAATTAGGACGTGACTGACAGCCACTAGAGGTGTTTTCTCAGCCAGATAAACATTTTTGCATAAAAAGTTTTTCGTTGTCCTAGGAAGGGTGAGGCGGCTGGGCACCAAAACCACTACATTAGGATACAGCAGCTTGGAAGCCTAGAGTGTCTCTTTACCCTGCATACTGAAAGTGTTTATTTTTTTCTGAATCTCTGATCACTGAGAATATACAAGTCTGACCACACGAAAGGCTAAATTGCTAAATTGAAATAATACACGTCAACCGTAAATGTTGGCAAATTGACGGGCTGAGATTTTCAGGCGTATTGCAACAAAAAATACATTTTAAAATAGGAAAATCATGGCTAGACAAGGTTTACTCTAAAATTAGATAAGTGCTGATTTGAAGGCAAAGTGTATTTTAGACAGTTTTAATTAAATAAAAAAATAAAAAATATAATAAGACAAAATCAAACCCTTTTTTAAGGTGGATTTTCTAAATCCTGTACTTAACAGGGGCCACGAAATAAGGATTTTGGGCAGAGACAAGACTCTGCATTTTCCACTTCATAACAATAAAATTAATTGAAAGAAATAGCTCAGATTCACGGACACAGGAGGCGGCAAATCTTTACCCCCACATCAGACATAGAAATGTACTATCTTTGGTTTATTTTTCTAAATGCAGAAATATAGATGAAAATTAGACAGCTGGAAAATTCTAGGCTGTAAAATTATGCTATAAAGTTAAAAAGGAAACTGCCGATTTCTAAACTAAATCCGATGTTCTGTAAAGTGGAAGGAAAGCTGCAGGTGTGGACCCAAATACATGAGACCGCTCTGTTCCGTAACGCTGGAATTGGGAGTCATTTTTGCTTTACACGGAAAAAAGAATTAGCTGTAACATGTGTTCGGAATGAGAAGCAGCTGTACTGTTTATGTCGAAAATTAAACTAAAAATAAGATAACTCATTCCTACCAACTGCACCAGCTTCCTCATAAATACTAATGTGGAGAATATACTGTGTTTTTTTTTTTTTAAAGGGATACCCCAAACACCACAACCACTTCTGATTATTCTACAGCTCGTTGCTATGGTTATGAAGCTGTGCCCGCTAATATACCTTTTTAATCCCTTGCCTTTATGGGTTTTGTTATTTTTTGTTGTTGTTGTGTTTGTTTGTTTTGGGTATTTTTCGGTGAAGCCTAGACTCCACCCCCTTCTCACTGACATTGTGTGGTTCAATCTAGCTTCCTTATTGTTACTTGCACATAATGATCTCACACAACCAACTCAGCCTCCTTCATGTACAGGAGATGTCCAGTTCAGAGCACTCTAGCCAATGTACCAGTATGCGAACGAGACAGACAGTGCATGCTCACAAATGACTAGGACCTCCATTTAATATTTTTGAATTAACTTTTCAAGTGATTTTTTTATCGTTTGAAAACTATTTTACCATGTTAATATATTGATATATTGTATTTATATTTTATATAATTATATTTATTTTATATTTTCTGAAAATAAATATTTGAAAAGTTTACTCAAAAAGTTTTAATAATTTGACACGTTTATCCAACAATTGGACGGCTGAATTGAAGTAAAGAGTGTAAAGTGTATTAATGGGAAAAAAAGGTTTTTTGTTTTTTTTTACAATTAAAGAATATATGCATAATTTAAAACTATGTAGGCTCAATGTATTAGTTTACCTGTGTGAGAAGTGTCCATTTTCTATTTATATTTTGCCCATTCTTGAAAGTTTGAAAGGAAAAAAAAATCATATTTTTGTCTTTTATAAAAATATATAAAACAACACATCCGTACGGCTTTCTGATTTCTGAAGCATACATTTGTTTCCTAAAAGTAATAATTCACTCATATTTTTCTCCTAAACTCAGCCCAACCCATGCAAATTATTAAACAAGGAGCAATTGAGGGCTGGAGCTAATTTGAAATTGGCAAATTAATTCTACTTGCCCACTTAGCCAAAACATGCTGCCTTCTGCTGGTTAGGTGGGTGTTCCTGGTCTTACACTGGCAACATGGTACACGTTAAGTGGCTCCCCACATTTTCTCAAACCTATTGAATAGAGTTTGCCAAAAATATAAATGACTGCACTATATCTAGTATAGTAAGCTGTAATAATACAATAAGTAATAATGATACAATAAGCTGTAAATACATAATAAGCTGTAATAGTACAATAATTTGTCACAAAACAATAAACTAATACAAAACATGAGCTATAATGATACAATAGGCTGTAATAATAAATGAGCTGCTATATACAATTTTTTTTTAAAGCCACATTTCGTATAAACTGGGGCAATCTGGCATTCCATCGCAGTGGTTCTGGTGTGTAACTGTTTGGCCTGCTGTGATAGCGGTTCAGATTGAGGAAACCTTTTCTCTGAAGAAGATCGCAGATGCTTCACACTTATCCTGAGAAGAGCTGGTGGGGATATGCATGCATGCTGGTTTGCAGAGCCTTTCTACTGTGCAAACCAGTTGCCTTGGTCTATTGTGGAGAGCGCAATTTTGCGTGATGAAAAGTAAGATCTTTTCTGAGTTATCTTGAATTAATATTAATTTAGATGTTTAGTAAGAGCGGCTTTATCCTCTGAATCATGTGTCCACCGCACCACTTTCTCTCGAGTTTACGGCCTGTTCTCTTCATTTCTCTGATGGTGCTATCAAACCGCGGTGCATTGTTGTGGGTTTTGACAGTGCATATGCGTGTTGGTGCAATGCTTTATAGGGTATCTCTCATGGTTTTGTTGTAGAGTCAGACTAAGGAGCTGGGGCCCTCACAGGTGCCCATTAGTAGACTTAGATCCATATGTGATGTTACATCCAATGGCGTCACCCTTTTTAATGGGTGTTGTTTGACCAGGTTCTGAGGCTGGGGTCTGGCTGATTGTGATACAATGGAGAAGTGAATGGAGTTTTGGTCTGACCAAACAACTGGATTTACAGTTACTGTTGACACTTCTAGTTCAGACTGGAACACTAGATCAAGTGTATGACCTTTTCTGTGGGTGGAAGTGGCAACAATTTGTGTGAAGCCGAGTGCACTCATCAAGCTGTGGAGATCCTGCCCAAGCAGGGATAGGGTGTCATCAATCCAAGTGTTGAAGTCTCCCAATATAAGTCATCTGGGGTGTTCAGGGTTTAAGCCAGCCAAAAGGTCTGAGAGTTCCTGAAGAAATTTCTTCCCATCTCCTGGTTGGTCTGTATATTAACAGTATCTGGAATCCTCTATCTATTGAGAGGCTGGAAGCTACACATTCAAAAGATTGGGGTTTGTGGACTGATATTGGTCTGGGATTTAGGAATGATTTCGCACAGATCATAACTCCACCTCCCTTGCGATCTTGTCTCGGGAGGTGGAACACCGTGTAATTGCCTGGAATAGCTGCCTCTAGAATAGGCCTTGCATTTTCATCTAGCCATGATTCTGTAATGCACGCTAACTCGCATGTTTCAATAATGTCGTCAATAATAGCAGTTTTGTTTCTTATTGATCTGGCATTGCACAGGATTGATCTGATGGGACAGTCTTGGGAGTCTGAGTTATTACTCTGTACTTTGGAAACAGTGTGTCTTCTAATGGGGATCACACAAACAGGTTTCCTTGATTTGATAGTGCGGTTTTTGTGGCTTCTAGGTTGAATCACTTCAATTAGGCTTTCAGGTAGACAGAGTGGTGGAGCGGCTGTGATAGAGTCAGGAGGATATAGAACTTTAAGTTTTGATTTTCCTCCACGATAGCCCCTGTCAGTCCATTTGAAGATCCCAAGTGATTTTAGGGTAACCACTAGCGAGGGACTGAGTGCAGCAACCGCTTTTTGGGGTCTGAGGGAATACAGATATGAGGGAGTATAGGTGATCATTCCCTCGGCAGTGAAGGAGTTACAATAGCTTCTAGTTTTTCTAGGTATGTTAGCAGTGAGGGCTGGTTACATTGCCCTGCTCTATAGGATGCAGGTGAGGTGCGAGATTTTGCACTTGGGGCTGCATTGTAGATAACAGACAAGAGGGCATGCATGCAGGTCAGATTACAGGAGTTCCAAACCAATGTGTTTTAGTGAAATAGTTTTCATCAATTAGTTTTCTTGGTGTTTAGAAATTAAATCTGAGCATTGCTGAATGGATGATCAAATCCAAAACCCAATTTACACATGGAGGTGAGTCGTTTTTTTAGTTTAAATGTACCTTGTTTGTGGTGTTCAGCTGAAGGTATCTCTTCCTGGTAGTAAAATGGTCCAGTGGAAGTATATTTCAGTCCGTTGTGTATCTCAGTTTACTAATGCCATCCATTCAATTCTGGTAAATCCAGTTGTGTGATATGTGGAGTCGATATTGGTCCTTGAAATATTTGTGATGAATTATGAGTGTAAGAAGGTTAAAATTAAGATAATTTACGGAGAGGTCAGGAGCCTGAGAAAAGTGTGACAGCTAGCAGGGGCGTCTAGGAGAATACAGAAAGCTGTAATAATGCAATGAGCTGTAAAATTACAATAATCTATAATAATACAATAAGCTGTAATAATACAAAGAGCTGTAATGATACAATAAGCTGTAAAGATACAATAAGCTGTAATGATACAATAAACTGTAATAATGCAATGAGCTGTAATAATACAATGAGCTGTAATAATAAAATTAGCTGTAATAATACACAGAGCTGTAATAATACACAGAGCTGTAATGATACATTAAGCTGTAATGATACAATAAACAGTAATAATACAATAAGCTGTAATGGTCATGGTGCTTGTAGCACCCCTTTGAGCGAGTGTTAATTTATTTAATTATTTGCCTTTTCATTATATAGTTTAGAAACATATATTTTTTACATTATTTTTGGATGGCAGGAAACAATATTGAATTTGCCACACGATATTAAAAATACGTTTGCAAAACATTTTTCCGAAGCATTACTCACAAGTTATATATAAATTCTAGCAAACACTCCCACATACTGCGACTTGTCCTCGAATGAACCTATTGTCCTTTGTCACTGCACCTGTTCTCTTTCTTCCTTGCTCCCACCTCCTGCTCAGCCTCCTCTCCCAGTATCATCGTCTCCTGTCTTATGTTTCACTAAATATCATTCTACCTCCTAACCACCCCACTATAGAAACCACAACCAGGTGCATACTCACAGTGTTCCAGGGATCTCTTCTGCAACATTCTATTCCTACACAAATCCCCCCAATACAATCTCAATACGCTTCCTCCCTGTTCATATTATCTATAGGTCCACCTCTACCTGTCTCTATCTTATTAGCCTTCTCAACCTGTATCTAGAACCTCCATTATCCTCAACCTGTGTCTAGTCCCTCCATCCCCTGAACCTCTATCTAATACCTCCACCCTTCTCAACCTGCATCTAGTACCTCCTCTCACCTCCACCTGTGCCTTATACCTCCACCATCCTCAACCTGTGTCTAGTCCCTCCATCCCCTGAACCTCCATCTAATACCTCCACCCTTCTCAACCTGCATCTAGTACCTCCTCTCACCTCCACCTGTGCCTTATACCTAGTTTAAATGTACCTCAACCTGTGTCTAGTACCGCCACCCTCCTGAACCTGTGCCTAACACCCCTGCACCCACTACAGCCACTATGCACCTGCACCCATTACATAGCACTCCCCTGCACTCACCAAAGCTTCTAAAACCCCCATTGACCCTCTATTACTCCCTACACCCACTACAGTCTGTAACCCTCCCCTGCACTCACTACAGTCCATATATCCCCTGCACCCACTAAAGCCTCTTCCCCACTGTACCCTTTCCAGACCCTTTCCATCTGCATTTGCTACAGCCCCTTTTACCCGCTGCCCCCCCTACAGCCACTATTCTCCCTGCAACCACCACTAATATGATTTATTGGTAGTAATTATCAGTTTTGACTGTGGTATCTTCTTTTCTCCACCCCGCGCACTGCTAGAGTCGCCACTGCCTATGGCCCTCCATCAATTCACTGATTTAAGATGCATGCGTTTATTCCAGTTATGCGGACAAAAATAGTAATTTGAAACACTCAGATCCAGCACTGAAACGGTTAAGTTCCCATTGTGCGCACATTTGTATATGCGTGTGCATGTGTGTATATCTTTGTTTGTGCGGTACCACGGGCACTCACACACATGCAGACACTGCCCATTCTATTCAGTACATTTATATCTTGTAGAGTTGGGTGTAACGAGCCATTTCTCTGTAGATGTTTTGTTTTCGTGAGTTCTATAAAACACTATAACCTGCTTTGCCTTTAGCTGTGTCTGTGAATAATGAAGCATTTATCCAGAACTCTGTAATGGGTTCACTAACTGGGGTTTCCTCTAAAAATACTTCTTTGTCAATTGTTCATTCCATACACTGACTATTCTCTCTTTATCAGGGAAATAATTAATAAGAGGATTTATGAAAAAAGTGACTCATTATCACTGGGAAATCCTGGCTTTATATGAAAAAAATGCAATATTTAGTTTCTTACAAAAATAGACTTCCAATTGGGATATTAACACCATGACAACATTCCTGTGGCCTACAATGAGGGTACATTGCAACGAGCAGTAGATTTTCAAGGGTCAGACTATATATAATAATATAATGAAATCATGGGTGAAATGAAAGACAATATAACATTATTCGCCATAACCTGGCAATGCTGTTAATATAAAGGATCATCAAAGGCAGCCAGACCGACTGATCTCAATGAAGTGGCGTGGACGCAGTGTCCCTCTCTTTTCAAGCCTGTGATGCAAAACTAAGTCTCTGTAGGATGCCATTTTTACTTTGCAGCATTAGCGAGCCACTAGTGGCTGTCAGGAAGTCAAACTCGGTTGTAGATCAACATTTGCACCTAGAGCAGCATTTGATTGGCGCAGTGCGGCTTTTTGCCAAACTAGCCTCTAAATGCTTCGCCGTGAGGATAGATGATCTCAGCCAAAGAGGCAAAATGGTATCACGGCAAGGGCTGAAAGGTAAGTAAATCTCACCTCGAACTCTCACACAAGAATGGAGTACTTCTACATAGGTACCAGGATAATATAGCTTTAGAGAAACATGTTTGTATTTATAACTCTATTGTGTTTCTTTAAGACATACATTCACATCATGTTTAATTGCACATACACACACATATACACACATATACATACATGCAATATTACATACTATAATGTTTTCAAACTGCATACAGACGGCATGGTGGGTGATGGCATACTGTACTATAATATTATTATTATTATTATTTATAAAGCGCCAACAAATCCCATAGCGCTGTACAATAGAAGGACTAACAGACATGTATTTTCAACAAGACGAGTTGGACGCACAAGAACAGAGGGTGTTGAGGCCCTGCTCAAACTAGCTAACATTCTAGAGGACAAGCTTACATCCTACATAGTGTGGCTGCCACCTGCCGTGTGCGGTATCTGAGATCAAAACAACAACGGGATATATGTCTTAACCTACCTGAGATTAGTAGGAAGTATGCTCCCAGAAGGAGCTAATATTTGTAGTTGCCATTATAAATTCATCTTCACTCCAGAAACTGATATATATTGGAAGAAGACCCAGAAACATTGGCACTCTCTCGCTCCAGTTCCTCTCCCCCACATTACTACATCAATGTATATTCTAACCCCCCAAATACGCCTAGTGTGATTGTCCTGACCCCACAGTACCCCCTAAATCTCTTCTTACTCCCCTTTTCCAGGTGCTGGGACCGATGGAAACCTCCATTGTAAATATGATGTAATATAGAAGATAACAGGGCTATTCACTAACCTCCAACTCACTCACAGTCAGAGCCAAGCCACTCTACCCCACTTTTGCCATTTATATTAAAGTTCTGCATATAAATCCTCTAGACAGCCAGCTCGTTTGAGAACGGTCCTCATCAACCTGCTGTTCCTGTAACATTTTGTAATTGTCTCATTTATTGTTAAACTTCCCCCTCTTATAATACTGTAAAGCGCTACGGAATATGTTAGTGCTATTTAAATACCAATAGTAATAACCTTGATATATCTTCACACAGTCCATATAGCAGAACAAAGACTGTAAAGGTAGCAGAACCGGGTGTATACAGAACCCCACCTAACTCTGAATCGTGTATTATGGAAATAATGGCAGCAAAGGGATCTGAGATATTAAAAAACTGACGATTTCTGTATTATTTTCTCATATAAAAGGCTGATTTCCTGGGATACACACTGACCCTATAACAGATAAATAAATGTACTGAGCAATGGCTGAATTGACCCTACTTACTGTCTCTGTCTCACATAAACAGCTTGTTCACAAACTAAATAGTGTACAAATATGTCAACATTGTATTTTATCCACTAACAGGGAACTCATGTTACATGTCTCACTTTCAGAGTCATACTGTAAATGCCCTGTCTGTCTGTCAGTCTGTCTGTCAGTCTTTCTATCTGTCTGTCTATATTCCTCTCTCTGTCTATGTATGTATTGGTCTATTTATCTGACTTTCTATTTGTGTGTCTATTGTTCTTGTTTTGTTTGTCTGTCTATTTCTTTCTTTCTCTGTCTATGTATCTGTCTATCTATTTTTCTTGCTCTGTCTGTCTGTCTGTCAGTCTGCCTGCTGCCTGTCTGTCTATTTATATTTTTCATTCTCTCTGTCTATGTATCTATTTATCTTGCCCTGTTTGTCTGTCTGTCTGTCTGTCCTCTCTTTCTGTCTGTATTCCATCTGTGAATTCTGTTACTGGGGTAGTAAATGTATTCTGTAATACAGTCAGCCAGGATTTTTCACTTGGCAAATAAAATCCCTGGAATTAAACTGGGGGAGGTGGAGGGGTGGGGGTCCATTAG